ATCAGCATTTCATCCTTGAAAGCACAATCCGGTTTATCACCCCTCTCTGTTCGCCGCCGTATCGCCACCCTTTCTTTCTTTCATAAATTCTTTCATTCTTCTCTCAATGCAGCTCCTTACATCCTCCCCCCGACATACATTTCACACCGCACAAGCCATCCACTTCAAGTGTCCCGTTATCGCAACAGAACTGCCACTTTTTCAGCTTCTTTTTTTCCCTGCGCCGTCAAGGATTGGAACGACCTTCCTGCTCCATTGCTTCAACCACCTGCCCATCATCCTTCGCGACAAATGTTACAAATCACCTGTGCTGCGAAAACTAACGTGTTCAAATGTTCTCTTTTCCTGTGTATCCCCCCTTATGTAATACCCCCCAGTGGGGTCCTTAAGGAAATAAAAATGAATGAAAAAATGAATGAATGAACAGTCAACTTTCTTGAAGTGAGGCTTCGCAGCAGTACGGATTTCTCTTAGGCAGATGTATTCACAGCTTTGTAGAAGTTTACAGCAGTGAAACCACCTTCAGATAAAAAATTACATGCGAGTTATTATATCTGAATATGTGCTTTCATGGCTCAGCCCTTTTCCACTGCAGTGAAACGACCTTTGCAGAGGGTACCATGCAGACTAACGTACACCTATTAATTCATTTTGAATACTTTGAAATTTTTAATAAATTAAATTGGAGCCAAAGCATACTTGAATACTGTGAACTTCATTCAAATATTCAAAACACTGGAATATTTATGCCGGCCAAGAAAGATGCATTCACAGAATATCAAGCCAGTATTACCAAAACTTTCATTCTCTTAAAATGAAGTTAGAGCGAATTTCCCTGATGGGAGCAACATTTCCTAGACTTTGTTTTCCCCGATGTTATTCAGACTATCAGATATCCCTGAAAATTCCCAACTTTCCTGGTCGGTAGACACCTCAAAAGCCATGACACAGAAGCAAACGACGACTGTGTCATCTGCTAAATGGAACTCCGCCTGCCATATCAAAGTAGTCTTGTGTTTTTGAAACTTATTTCATTTCATACAGAATTATAAGTTATACAAATATTATTTTGAGTCCTAAGAGTACATTATTTTTAGTTCTAAAAAGTAAATTCAATGTGAAAGATTATAAAAGTTTTTCGGTTGAGTAAAAAAAAAATGTTTTCAGAACTACCATTAGAATCCAGACGGCACAACTATGGTGTCCAACTTTCATCCCCATTGGCTCTATGGGCATGCCTCTATCTTTCATTTCCCCCATCCCCCTGCCATGCGCAGGATAGCAAACAGGCTACTATAGGTTGGTTAACCTCCCTGCCGTTCTTTTTCTCCTATTTTGCTTCCTTCCTTCCATTTCCTTGACCAAGTGCAAGTGTGCAAAGTTCACTACATTATTCGCATTAACGTAGTAAGGCTCATCACCAATGGTGTACCCCAGGGATCAATTCTTGGTCCACTCTTATTTTTGACATTTATTAACGATCTGCGGAATTACTTATTTTGTGCCAAGTGTTTTCTGTACGCCGACGATACGACCATTGTAGCTTCTGCTTCTGACCCCACTGAGTTTTTGGATAAATTAAACTACACAGTACACAAGCTTCAAGACTGGTGTCTTAAAAATTATATAAGTATAAACCCTGTAAAGTCTCAGTTTGTAGTTTTCCATTCTCCTCATAAAGTAGTGACATCTGCCTTACACATACGGATAAGCAATGTTGAAATTAAACAAATAAGTTCTGCGAAGTTCCTGGGTGTGATTGTAGATTCCAATCTAAAATTCAATACCCATGTCGATTTGGTAGTTAAAAAAATTGGCTTTGGCATAAGGACATTAATTAATATGTGTTCAAGCTTCAGCATTAACACACTTTTATTTATTTATTTATTTATTTATGATACCTCAAAGGCCCCTAAAAGAAGGGTTTTACATGAGGGGTGGGCATATCTACAAAAACAGCTCTTCTATGATGCGTTTGAAGATGGCTTGGTCAGAATGAAGCACTGCCTTGGTGGGAAGGTCATTCCAGTCCCTTGATGTCTGGTTGAAGAATGAGGAGGCATGGGAGACAGTGTGGGCTTGAGGAGGGTATACGGTCTTTTCGTGGTTGATCCGGCTTGAGTGGCGGTGTGCGGGAGCAATGAGATCGGCTTGAGGTGACTTGTGAAAGAACTTATAAAAGAGAGAAAGGCGGGCGACTCGACGGCGTGATACAAGGCTGGGAAGGTTGGCTTGGGATTTGAGCTTCGATGAGCTAGAGTTGTAGAAAAAGTCCGAAAAAATGAAACGTACGGCACGATTCTGTACTGATTCAAGCATGGTAATGTGATTATGTTGGTATGGGTCCCACAGGGCGCATGCATATTCGAGCTTCGGCCTTACTAAGCAGCAGTACGTTAGAAGTTTGACTGAGGGGGGTGCTAATCGGATATTACGCCGCAAGAAACCAAGAACGCGATTAGCAGAATTTGTTATGCTGGTTATGTGGGTGTGCCATGATAGGTCAGAAGTGAGGTTAATTCCTAAGTACTTGTAGGTGTTAACAGTGGATATTAAAGAACCACTAATTATATAATCGCGAGCCGGGTATGACTTCTTTCGACGAAAAGTGAGAAGGGAGGTTTTCGATGCGTTTAATGACATAAGCCACTTGCGGCACCAATCCTCAATTTGACTGAGGTCAGATTGTAGGGATAAAACATCGTTATTATTGTTAATAGGGCGATATAGCACGCAGTTGTCTGCAAACAACCGTATCCCGGAAAAAATGTTAGTTGGAAGATCGTTAATGTATATGAGAAAGAGCAGGGGTCCGAGGATCGTTCCTTGAGGAACCCCGGATGTAACAGGTGTAAGAGAAAAGGAGCGTTCGTTAATGTAGACGAATTTCTGACGGTTACACAGAAAATCATGTATCCAGTGAAAAACAAGATGATGAAGGTTTAGGCGAGACAGCTTTAGGAATAGATGGTTATGGGGTACTTTATCAAAAGCTTTTTCAAAGTCCAAAAGTAGTGCGTCAACGGGAGTATTAGTATCAAGGCTGGAACTGATGTCATTAATGAAGAGAGCCAGTTGAGTTGAGCCAGTTGATCCCTTTATCATGCCTTCATCCATACACATATCAAGTATTGTATTACCACTTGGGGAAATACTTATTACACCCACATCTCTGATTTAGTTAGCATCGTAAAGCGCAAGCTGAAAGTTATCACCTTCCCATCCTCTCGTTCATCGTCCAGGCCCCTTTTTCTAGAATTGAGTGTACTACCTTTTGTTTGGATATACAAAGCTAGCTGATGGTCTTGCTGCACAAAGTCATGAACCACCCACACACCAAGTTTCTGTTGATGCCCTTCTAATTCACCAATTTATTAATAAGAATAAGACCTGGTTGCTATGTCAAACATTTTTTGTTACCGAAAGGCACGGCCAATTATGGCAAACAAACAACTTACTTGAGTGCATTTTTCATTTGGAACGCTCTTAACCATGAATTAAAGATGTTATCATTACACCAGTTTCATTCATCATTAAAGGGCCACTCAGCAGGTTTGACAATTCTGAGGTGACAAGCGCAATGCGTAGACGAGGCGTTCATGATCACGTCTGCCAAATTTGCAACACTACTCGCCGCGGAAATGGGTCAAATTTCAAGATGAGCACTGCTCCCCCTCCCCCCTGCCAGCGCATGCCTTGAGAATGACGGCATGACGTGGGCTTATGAATGGCCCTACGCACACGGCAATGCAATGACGTTGGTCCTCTATGTAGACGACTCTGCTCTGACGTTGTCAACAGTATACCACGTGACATGGTAAAAATTATTTAACACAACATGTGTAGTTTATGTATTTGTTGCCTTGAGAGATTAATAAAACTTGAAATAAATAATGAGACACAACAAAAAATTGTGCGCGTTTTTCTTTCATTTTTTTTTTCCCGTGAATGCTACGAGATACGGGGCTAATGTGCCAGCGTTTCGCATGCGTTCGTGTCCCCGCGGTCAGCTCATTGAGCAGACGACCGCCGTGAAACACTCCTATGCGTTCGCGCACTCATTGTGCTCATCTACTCTATCGCGTCTGAGCCAGCGTTTCCAAACCATCCCGCAGAAACAGGCAGAAGACCACAAATTAACGCCGGTCAACAAAGCAACGCTGCTCGCGTGCTCAGGGGTTGGACTTTTTTGGGCACGTCACGCGCACGTCACCTCATGGTCGGATGCTGGAGAGGGTGGGGAAGAGATTTGGCTTGCGAAGGCTACGCGGAGGAGCGACAAGGATTTCGAGCTAGCCTCCTCTCATCCTCGTTTCGCGCCGCTAGAAAAAACCTGTTTTCTCCGCTCGTGATGAACCGATTCGAAAAATTTTTGTGGCAAAATGTTCTTCATCGGACACCCAATAACTTCTACTGTCTAACTAAAATTCCGTATGGGACCTGTTGAGTGGCCCTTTAAAAACATACTTGCTCTCAACAGTTCATTAACATACGACTCCATTTCTGCACTGCCTTTATTAATGTTATGCCTTATGATTTTTTTTAAATTTCTTTACATACCTTCTTTCCTCGTATTAATTAGTTAGATTATCATGTTGCCAATATTGAGACTTTTGTTTATATATATAGACATATATGTATTTACATGTGTGCATATATGAGTTTCGTTATTATATCTGTGCACCTGTAGTCAACTTATTCCTAGTGCTTACTAATTATTTTTTTTTGTTCAATTTTGTTAAGAGGCCCTCGCACAGTTTTTACTTTTGGGCCTCCTTTTGAACATGTAGCACCTTCATATATGTATTGTGTTCTGCAATTCTTTCTTAATAAACTTGAAACCTGAAAACCAGTCATTCTTTGTTGCTTCATGAAAAACAGTAGCTGGGAGTTAGCACTAGCATAATCATCTTTTAGCCTTTAGCACGTGTCTGCCACCCTTGTCATGCTATGTCATCATGCATGTTGAACAGGTCTGGCAAACAATCACTTTTACTTACCCTGTCCTTGAAGGCATCTGGAAGAGAAAGCTGCCCTTCCTTTTCTTTTCTTCGTGGTAGCTCGATGAGGAAGCCAAGTGTGTCTCCGGCACCGTAACCTCCGTCGTGGTAGTGGTATCCACGGCTCTCATGAAACTTAGTGCCTTTACGAGACCGCCAAGAGTAGCCAAAACGGTCATACCCCAAGGGAGCTTGCAAATTGCCTGGTAGCATAGAGCAAAATGACAAGGAAAAACAAAACATATGAAAAGGCAAGTACTTTGTGCATAAAAGCAATCCAGAGGATTACAATAACCCGACCAAAATAGGACCAAGGCACAGTTACTGAACACTGCCTCGGCAAATTCTGCTATGCCTCCTATACAACCAAATGCTAACATTAGAGTCCAACTTCTAAAGTGCAAAAAATTCTAGAACGACACCCTAACTTATGCTCGGTCACAACAGTTATTCATATCCAATGACAAAATATATTGTATGTGTGTAAGCTTAATTTCATGCTTTGTGAAGACTTATTAAAGATAACTGTCAAAGATTTGGAAGAGTATATTGTGATAAAACCTGTTGAAGCTAACAGACAAGGCCAGAGAAATACCGTATTTACTCTCAAAATCTTTGCACTTGCATAATTCTTGCACCCTCCCCCATATTGCCAAAAAAAACGTGATTTTATTATTTATATTTATTACACCTGCAAAAATTGCAGCCAATGATGATGATAATACACAAAAGCCTGGCACCATCTCTTAAGCCTTACATGTACTATCAACGCACAGAGCCCCAATCCAAGCCAAGCCGCAGTGGCAAGTGTGCGTTGCGGCGTGCTAGTGTATGTTGTGTCCATTCTGTGGTTACGTCAGGGGGCGATACGGAAGCTGCACGGCTGCTTTCAAGTTGAAAGTGATTGATCATGCGCTAAACAACAGCAACAGGGCCACCAGTAGACAATTTAGAGGTGACAAGTTTTGTGTTCGCTACTGGCAACTGCAGCACGGGCAGCTAAGCCACCAAGGCAGCTAAGACTAGAATGGATGGTAAAACTCTATTTCTTCAGAAAATAACTGCGCACAATTCCATACTAGATGGCCATCAGCTCAAGGTTGATGTCGTATGCAAACCTTTTGCGGGCTCCCGTGACGAACGCTAATGCTATGCTAGCAAGAATTGCGTAAGGTATTCCAAAACTCTACTATTTGCTTGCAGCTTTTGTGTCTCAAATAAATCTTGTCTTGTATTGAACCTGTGGCTTTATAGTTAAGGCAAGTCTTTACGAGTATTTCTCAAAGCTTGTATTTAGTTGCTAGCATGAGAATACCGATTTGCAGACACTTCGTTCTCTCCCCCCCACTCCCCCCAATTTTCCTCGAGTAATTCTCGCACCCCACAACCTTTCATCGTTTTGCGAAAAACAGTACGAGTTTTATGCGAGTAACTACAATAAAAGAAAAGAATTGCATGGCCCTTCACTAGCTATGGGCCTTGTATATGAACCAGTGTGCCATGCTCAACATGCAGTGGTGTTTCTGTGCCCGTGCAAATAAAATGGCTGAGTGGCATGAAAATTACTGAAATTTCGAACAGAAGAATGTGTCATATTCTCTGTAGCTTAAAACACGCAGACAACGAAAGACGCAGGTGCATGATGCCGTATCGATAAGAATGATTCGCTCCAAGAAAATGTCAAGATCCCGTGCCCAAATGTCACGCACAACACACACTGCTTGCAGCATGTCACATGGCTTCAGTCAATAATAAAATGCAAAATATGCAATTTCACCACTCAAAAAATTCCAGATGCAACACAGAGATAGAAAAAAAAAAACAAGGAAGTGGGGCTTGTCACATGAATATAATATGAGCTCTAGCTATAAGTGCATGGTAGAATACAGGGAATAAACTCTGCTTGTGCTTACTTTCACATGTATGCTCAATCTAAGTGCTTATCACATGGCATGTGAATGACTACCATGGCAACAACCAGGCACAAGTACCTCATGGTCTGCACCTTTATCCTCTCACAAATTGCACAGCTGGCTGGATGGTAGCTGTGCTTTCAATTCACACCTTTAAATTTGCAGTGATATCTCATCACTGGGATCTAATTTGCAGGTGCACTATCATGCTGATGCTCTCAATACATCGAATGCATTTACTGAGAAAAAATGGTGAAAAACATTTGCGAACTCCTTCCCTTGAGAAAAACATTGAGCCCATTAGTCTTCGTGGATGTCTTGCACACTTCATGGCACATTGCATATGACGAATGCTCACTAACCCAGGAAATACAATGAAGATGCAATCAGACTGCAGCAAGCATGGCATGGAAGCACCTTCAATGAGAAGTCAACGTGGTAGCTCTAAACAACAAACAAATCTTAGGGGCCTTACTTTTGCTGCCTATGTTGCCATTGGTACCATCTTAGAAGACAGATCTCAAAGGCCATGCTTTTGCTCACAAGACCTTGAACATCCTCATGGCTGGCTTGTACAAACTTCAAAGTGTAATCATTATGTGATGAAAAAAAAACAAATTTTGTAATAAATTTCAGGCATAGGCATTTAGAGATAGGACTGCGAAGCTGGATTGGCTGCGACTCAAGCAGGCCACTGTAGCGTGGATGCGGTGCATGATTAAGGAACAGAGCGGAAGCGCAGGAAGCTTTCCCAGAACAGCTAAGAAATTAGAAAGTGGCAATGAAATTGGAGGGGTTGCTTGATCAGAATTTTAGGGTAGTTTGAATTTTGTTTAGTTCGAATAAAGCAAGCATGCCCATTGAAATTGAATAACCAAGCTTTTACTGCAGACAAAATATCCCCAACAAGAAATGAAGGTGAAAGCAACAACCACAGCTTCTTACCAAGTTCTTGAGACCAGCCAATACGAGCGGCACTATTCTCTGGCATATCTTCAATGGTAGCTTCATAATACCAGGCACCCTCTTCCACACCTGAAAAGCACAGACAATATGAACAGCTCTGGTTCAAGCTAATTTTCGAAGGTATCCTGAAACACTTTTCCAAGTCATCATCGAATGAGCACAGTATTGTAGTTTAATGTCTCCCGTAAGAAGCACTGCAAAGTTTTTTTTCCAAATCTGTTAAGTATGAGTGCATTTACAGAGATTTGTCGCGTAGTTTGAGCACTTCTTTTCTTCTTTTGTCCTAACGAATGTGCCACAAGCTGCACAGGGAAGAGAAGCTACATCAGTGTGTGCTACAGACCGGATTATATGCAAATGCCTTTTGTTCCTTGCGTTCCTGTCGTGCCATTTTTATATATGAGCATGAATTAGAGGTTAAGAAGGGCCTTTATGGTGTTTTTATAGTGCCTATAAATGCCTATTTTGAAAATGAGTGCATATATGAGCGCTATTCAAGCCCAAATTTTTTTTTCGAGCGTGGTGTGAAGCCGTTATTCACGTTAAAGAGGCAACATTGATATTTCCAAGCACTATAACATTCAACGAAGACAAGCTGCGAGCGATTGGAGGAGGAGCATAGGGAGTAAAAAATACGCTATTTCTGCAGTCCTAAGTGGAAGCACGTCTCAACGTCTGTAGGGGTAGGAGGAGGGAGAATTAAAGATGGGGTAAGAAAATAAAAGTGACGTCATGGCCGAGTACGCGGTGACCGCCTTCTATAGACAGCTGTGCAGCGCCCTGAAGGAACTGTAGAACCGCCCAGAAAACCTGGTTTTGCGGTGAGAAAGGAAAAGCAGGTTTTTCTGGGCAGCCGCGGGTAGCTAGAGAACGAATGAAAAACCATGAAGGACCACTCATGGAAAGCTCTTGTTGATTCAGTGGTAGCGAAGGTCGCCAAATCGTTATACTTTTTACAGCGAAGCCTGAGACAGGCGCCAGCATGTTGACAATCAACGGTGTATTTAGCATACATTCTCCGTATACTTGTTCCATATGAGATCACTTGTCATGTGTCTTTAAGTGACAAAAATGAAAAAATACACAGAGCAAAGCTTCAAGGTGTGTCCTAAGCCATTACTCAAAAAGTATAGCTGTAGCAATATGAAAAATGAGCTAGTATGGGAATTACCATCATCACATCGAATTAAACTGTGGTTAAAGCTCCTATGTCAAGCACTTCATGGCAAAACTCACATTCGAAAATGAATGTACCTAAACAGTCCTCTTTGCGTAATGGTTATTAAGATTTTAGAATGTCGTATCAGATATAATATTTCTATTAATTCATTTTTTTGTTAGTTTCGTGACAGAATGAAATGGCTTATAAAGAGAACAAAGTGTGTTGTGCCAATGAAGGCGTGTTTTCTTTGACATTGTAACCTATCTGCTACAGCGCCTTCGGGAAAAAGTGTGATGAGCAAGCGGCTTTTGTTTTGTTTGTAATTTACTTTTTAAGCATCCCTTTCTAGGTGACATAATAAGTTGTAGTTAGACACTAGATGTTCTTGCGTGACTAATGAAACGCATTCTACCACGGTGATTTTTCAAACTGGTTCGCTACAAGCAACCAAAGCATGACATGAAGAAGCAAGCTTGAATCCCTTGCCTCTCGTGCCGTGTAGCCATCGCGAGCCTCAATCCTTTTCCCTGTTCTCTTCGGTACCAGGGCTGGAGAATCACATGACGCATACACAACGTTATAACATGTGTAAGCAAGGTCATGCACGGATGACATGCCCCAGCTTACTTGTGCATCGATGTTGTGTTGTTTCGGTGTTTTCTGTTGTGTAGCAACTGTTTCTGTGAGATGGATGAGTCAGTGCGTGTACTTTAGGAGAAGCTGGCAAGGATCATGTATCGTGACTGCGATACACTACATCACTCCACTGAAAATGCGTTCAGAGATGGCGCACCTAACACAAGTTAAGCGTTGTCAGTATTGGCGAAGGCACAAGACAGGAACGACGAGAAAACGAACACAAACGAAATGAGGTAGTAGTAGTAGTAATAGTAGTAGTAGTAGTAGTAGTAGTAGTAGTAGTAGTAGTAGTAGTAGTAGTAGTATATAGTAGTAGTAGCAGTGGTATATAGTATGTCTAATTTTACATAAAAAAAAAAAACCGTGATATGAATATGAGGGATGCCGTAGTGGAGGTCTCTGCAAATTCTGACCATCTGGTATTCTTTAACATGCACTCACATGTGCAGTACATGGGCATCCACTTTTTCGCCTCAATTAAGATGTGACCCGCCGAGGCCACAATCGAACGGGTGGCATTAGGGTCAGCTACAGTGGACTGGTCCACCGAGGCGGACGCGAAACGAGGGCCGATTAGTGAATAGCATCTCGAGGCTATTCAAAACAAAAATAAAAATAATAACAAGGTGATATTCCGTTAGCGTTTCTTTTTTCCTCAGCTTTCATTCATTATACTGATTTTCAAAGGGCAGTGCAAAGACACAGGGAGAAGAAAGACAGAGACAAAGAGCACTGTCTTTCTTTTTCCTTTGTCTTTGCGTTTCCCTTTTAAAATTAATGAAGCAGCTAGCCCAAACCAAAATACTCCTCATTCATGCTACACAACAGAACAAACAAATTGTACATGCCAAGTAATGTCACGTGCAACGCTCTTAATGAGGTACCGTTTAAAATGCAGGATATAATAAGGAAGTGGGACATCTTTTGTCTGTTTTTCTAAATATAGCTATAGCATTTAGCGAAGTTCTGATGACGAGCTTATGGTATGCAACGTCAGCCCACAAATGTCAACGTAGAGGAGCGACGTAAAAACAGGACCCTTCTTTGCTGTATGTCACTCCCTAGATCTTGGGGCACACGCTCGCGAGAAGGGCAAGTGGCATTCTTAGAAATTGAGCGTTTTTCCGCGACATGTAATTTTGCAAATCTTGACAGAAATAATCCGGAGTGCCCAGTGTGCCAATACACATGTCAGCTTGAAATGCCCAAACATAGTGAGGCGGGTCCTTTAAGGTGTTCACCGATAGGAGGAAATTGGTCCTATACGTGATTAGACCTAGCATTCCTCTCTTCTGGGGTATTAGTGGCCTGGTTATTTGCTCCTGCGCTGCCCTTCCCAGTCACTACGAAACAAAATAGACCCAGGAGAAAGTTAATTGAATGGTGGACACTTGATGCACAATGCTAAACAATAAAACAAAAGACCACATACTGCGAATCAAACAGGAAATGCATGCCTATGTTCAATCATTGATACCTTTCTGCTATTTTAAACAGTATAATTTTTTTTTTGCTTTTTGCCGTAGATAGAAGTCACTGACGTCGTCGTTTTGAGTTATTTCAATTTTTGTGAAAACTTATTGTGCCTATAATTATGATTTTGAGGGCCTAAAACAGCGTTTTACCTGCCTTTCTTTGGTGCCTAAAACACACTTTTTTAGTGCCTAAAAATCTGGCCTCTAGTCATGAACTTGAGTGTTGTCATGGAATCCATTGCCCACCTCTGGTGTTGTAATGTAGTTGCACTGCACAGTTGAAAGTTTGTGTACTATATCGCTATATCCTACAAACTAGCCCTCATTGAAACTTTGCTACAGCTCTAGTTTAATTAGAGTGCATGCTAGTACTCCAGCTGAGTAATAGTAGTACACTATAGAGCGTGGTGTTAGCGTGTCGTGACACCCTAAAACAAGGAGCACATCTGATCCAAATGCTGCTTTTGATTTATGTCAGTTATTGGCTAATACTAGCAATATTCTCACACTATCACAAAATAATACTGGCGCTTGCAGCTCTGAAGAAAGAGAGGATGGGCCTCTGTTATGAATATAGGACACTTGAGGAAGTGGCAACTTTGCGCTCCCCTTGTAAACTCTCCTTGCCGCACACAACTGCAAGACTTGGCTCAGATGTTCAATGCAGCATCTGATTTTCGTAATAAAGTACTTCTTCACCAAGCTAGGCCAGTGGTACAGAACCTCTTTTTAACAGCGGGTCCCCTGACAAAATTGTAGAAGTGATCAAACCTTCTTGATTCTTGAGATGCAGCTTGGTTACTCAGCTATTTGCTAGAACCTCTTTTCTAAAAATATTAATATCATAATAAAGATAGCCCACATGCTAACTGCTAATGTTTCATTTTGCTATAAAAAACAGAATGTGGGTTGGAATGTTAGAAAAGTGCAATAAAAGATTCACACCTTTCTTCTATACCAATTATTGGCAGTAAAATTACAAGAGTTTGGCAACTATGGGCCACTCAAGTCTATTATTCTAATTCCAATCACCATCGTTGGTGTCTCTTTGTTTACTACCAGCCATGCTCCATTTGGAATTCTTGTTCTTTTCTTGAGAACTTATTGCGATTCCAATTTTTTTCTTTTTACCTTTGTGTGAAAGTGAACAAAATAGCATTCCCCGTAGCAATAACACGAAACAGTGATCACATTTCCGGAGGCGTACAGAAATCTTGCAGCACAAGGCGAGTTCGGAGTGTCTGAAGGAAGCATTTGCTAATGGTGGACACAGCAGGATTGCATCCCCATATGCAGCTACAGTCCACTCTCGTTAATTAAAACTCGAAGGGGCCTCTGAATTTTGTACGAATCACCAAGAAGTTTCTCAGATAGATGACTCTGGGTGGGGTGACACCGCAAATTATGATTAGGCATTGATTTTATCACATTTGAAAATTTTAGGTGTTTTTAATCCCAAACTGCACACAGTGAACAGACGGCAGAGGTGTAAAGTCCACAAGTTTTTTGGCCATTTACTGCTGATCAGACGTTCTAAAGAAATTGTGAATTCCCAACTGCTTAATTGCTTAAGCACAAAGCTCTCTATACCATTTGAGAAGCATCACAGGTTACCATGCATGTTCTTCATTTCAAAGATTTGTTTACTAGCAAAGCCTTCTTCCTTAAAGGCCTAAGATACTTACTTTTTATTTTTAGACTGTTAGGATTATATAAGCACACAAATTTTCAAATAGTAGTGGGAAAGCAGCTGATATTTCCCGATATAAACCTGAAAAAACTATGAATTAACC